TTTCAAAATTCTTAAATAACTGGCTTGAAGATCAGTAGATTTAGACTGTTTCCACTAAACATGTAGCAAATAATTTCTAGAACTATGGACACTTATGGGAAATGCAACCCTTTTAGCAGCTATCGGTCTGAATAAGAGACAAAAAAAAAAAAGCTATTTAAATAAGAAAGGACATCCTTGAAAACTTTATCTCAACTCAGCACTAGCTAGTACAGGATCACCTCTCTAATGTAGACTAAAAGAAAACTGGAAGTAGCCCAGATACCACTGGTATACTGCCCTCCTCATGAAAGGCCTGCTACTTCCACATTCTGGTCTAGCTTTAGATTCTAGCTTCATCTTTCTTATGCTGATTTAAACCTTACAGTGCAGTTGTCTAATCTTCAGATGATAAAACATGAAATATCAACAGAAGAGACTACTACAACCTGACCCAGAAACAGAAGTTTGGAATCCAAGAACTAGTGAACAAAAATGGCAAATGTCAAATGTCTTCGAAGGGGAAGATAAAATTGTCTCCCATTACATCTTGACTCCAGTACTAAACATGTGATACAAACATGAAACAATATTCCTCAGAAAGAGTACATCAGAAATGCAAATAACCCAAGTACAAGAATAACAATCACCAAAAAATGCTGAAAGAAGAAAAAAAAAACTTAATCTCCTGGGATACACACACACACAAAAAAAAACCCACCAGTATGTACTCCAACAGAAAACACTTTGTTGATATGTAAAATGTGTTTCTGAGATTTCAGAGACTATTAGCACACTATGCTCTTCTGAATGAGAAATCGGTGTGGAATACTATTCTGAAGTGTAAGCTATTTCATTCTACAGTAGATACCAAGAAAATACAATGATATCAACTAATCTGTAATAAAATAAGACAATGACTATGAAATAAAGACCATGGGGAAAAAAAAAAAAAAGAGTTTTCATGTCTCCAGAAGGTAATTGTTCAAAAAAAGAATAAAAATATCTCTTAAAATGTTAGGTATGGGGACTCTTTTATATATCCTTGGTGAGAGAAAATCTTCTATTTTTTCAAATACTTTTCCTGAAGAAGTTCAGATATGCATACAGTATTATAACACCAAAAAGCCGGGGAGTTTTGTCCTTTATTATTGGACATAAGATATTGCATTGGTTAAAGAAACACATGCTGAAGTAAAATACTGCACTTAGAGCAACTTTGACCAGACTGCTAATGATTCTAGTAATGAACATCAACATATGCACCATCACTGGCGGACAAAACAAGTAACTGTAGATCAGATGTTCAGTTCTCAACTCATACACGAAGGTTCTTCTTAACATCTGGATGATTTCTTTGCCTAAGTAAAACGTAACATTTATTCTAATGAGCAAACACATACAAGTGTACTTACTACATAGTTCCCAGGAGATGCTGAAGAATAAGGTATCTGTAATATAAACAGAAACAAGAGAGTAATTTCTTCAGCACTGAGATGGAATTCATATCATAGAATCATAGAATCATAGAATGCTTAGGGTTGGAAGGGACCTCTAGAGATCATCTAGTCCAACCCCCCTGCATACGCAGGGACACCTAGAGCACGTGGCACAGGACTGCATCCAAGCGGGTTTTGAAGATCTCCAGAGAAGGAGACTCCACAACCTCTCTGGGCAGCCTGTTCCAGTGCTCTGTCACCCCCACTGTTAAGAAATTTTTCCTTAA